ACTGAGCCTTAGAAAACATACCAGCACTTGGGGGGGGGGAGACTCTTGCAATCCCCCACTCTACCCTGCTGGGCAACCTTGAGCCAGTCTCTCTCACATATAGGATTGAAAAGGCTGCTTTATTGTTTTATGGACTACTATAAGTTAAACAAACAGACCCTAAATTTTCAGGTCAAAAATTATTGTTTTGGGGAAGGTGTGGGAGCCGGCTAAATGGAAGCTAAGAGGGGAATATATTGAGCAGGTTAAAAGTTTTAGATATCTGGGAATGTTCTTCCACTGTTAACTCTAGTTGGGCTGCACATAAAAGGGAAGTGATGAAACCTGTGAATAATTACATACTTGTGATTACCCATTTTTATTACTCTAAAGGTAATCAACATGTTCCAGCTGCTCTAAGAGTCTTTAATAATAAAATCTGTGCTACTTCCTCCCCTGCCTGTTGTCCCTCTATCAGCAGTGTAATGTATTCTTACTCACCAGTTTCACCAGCGTGAAAGAAGTATGGCAAATTCTCTCCTAGAGACTGTGGAATGGTCAAGGCTTCCTTTAGTTCCCAAAGGGATTTTCCACCATCCTCCCAGCCAACCTGAAAAGAAAATTCCTCTGGATAACAACTTTTTAGTGCAAAGCTTAGGCCATGGCCCTGGATGACCCTCAGATCTCAAACTCTGTGTCTCACTTCCTAAACATTAGTAGGAAGGGTTACCAATGAGTGTCATGCATCCATTATAAGAAGAAGAAGAAGAGATTGGATTTATACCCCGCCCTTCACTTGGAGTCTCAGAGCGGCTTACAAACTCCTTTCCCTTCCCCTCCCCACAACAGACACCCTGTGAGGCGGGTGGGGCTGAGAGAACTCTGACACAAACTGCTCTTTTTCAAGGACAGCTGTGCCAGAGCTTGTGACTGACCCAAGGTCACATCAGCAGGTGCAAGTGGAGGAGTGGGGAATCAAACCCGGTTCTCCCAGATTAGAGTCCGCGCACTTAACCACTACACCAAAACTGGCTCTTAATAATTATACTTAATAATTATACTTAATAATTGTGTGCCGTTGAGTTGCAATCAACACTGGGTTCTCAAGGCAAGAGATGAGCAAAGGTGGGTAGCCCTTGCCTTCCTCTGCATAGCAATCCTGTCTTCTTTGGTAGTCTCCCATCCAAGTACTAACCGTGGATAGCCCTGCTTAATTTCTCTGACAAGCTCGAGCTAAGCAGGGCTATCCAGGCTGCTTAAAATAATTAAATGCTGTCAAGTCACAATCAACTCATGGCAACCCCAGGACCAGGAGGGTTTCAAAGCAAGAGATGAGCAAAAGTGGTTAGTCATTGCCTTCCTCTGCATAACAACACTGGTCTTTCTAGGTGGTCTCCCATTGAAGTATTAACCATGGCTGACCCTGCTTAGCTTCCAAGCTCTGGCAAGATCAGACTTTTGTTGTTCAGTCGCACAGTCGACTCTGACTCTTCGCAACCCCATGGACCATATCATGTCAGGCCCTCCTGTCTTCCATCGTGCTCTGGAGTTTGCTTAATTTCCATGTTTGTTGCATTGATAACACTGTCTAACCATCTCATCCTTTGCCATCCCCTTCTTCTTTGACCTTCAATCTTTCCCAGCATCAGGGTCTTCTCCAGTGAGTGCTCCCTTCTCATTTGGTGGCCAAAGTATTTGAGCTTCAGCTTCAGTATCTGGCCTTCCCGGGGACAGTCGGGGTTGATTTCTTTTAGGATTGACTGATTTGATCTCCTTGCAGTCCAAGGGACTCTCAAGAGTCTTCACCAGCACCATAATTCAAAAGAATCTATTCTTCAGCGCTCGGCCTTCCTTATAGTCCAACTCTCGCAGCCATATATTACAAGATCAGACTAGTCAGGGCTATTTAGGCTGCTGCATCTATTATTTTCTGCAGCAATTGTCAGGCACTCTGCCATGCAATCAAAGTCACCTTACCTGCCATTTATGTGTTTGTGTGAAAGAGTTGCAGCCCAAGTGTGCCTTACAACTCAGCAAGGTGATCATTTCCTCACCCCCTGTAATCCTTCCCACATAAAATATGAAGCCAAGTCAGAAATACAGATTACCAGGTCAAAGCCTGCCACAGTGCCTGGGAATTTGGCCCTGAGTGCCATGGCTGTATACACAGCTTCTTTAATCTGGGAAATGTTCAGGTTTCTGAAAAACAACAGAAAAAGAAAATTATCAGGGATTGTTTGCAAATCCTGTCTGCAAATCCTGAGTCAATAGCTGGGGATATGGATGTTGTGTGTAAAAATCCATTAGCTAAAAAACTCTTGTTAAAACAGTCTACTTAGAAAAACAGAAATTTTATATTATTTTTCATGTGTGGTGATCGGAAGCTCAGTAGTAGGCATACAGAAAGTCATCAAACGATGTAATGGATATGGGACAGCTGTTAATGTTTCTGTTAGGTCGTTACAAAAGCAGACTAACAAAAGAGTCAGGGTGGTGCATGGTTAGAGTACTGGACTATGACCAGGCAGAGCTGTGTTCAGATCCATAAATTTCAGTTGGTGATTTCGGGAGAGTCACTTTCTCAGACCTTTGTTATAAGGATAAAACGGGGAAAGGAGAACTCTGAATTGCCACCCTGAGAGTCTTAGTGGAAGAGCAGGGTACAAATGTAAGAATGCTGCTAAATTCAGAGCTATTTTTCCATTTGTATCCCACCTTTCTCCCCAGTGGGCACCCAAAGCGGCTTACATCCTTCTCCTCTCCTCTGTTTTATTCTCACAATAACCCTGTGAGGTAGATTAGGCTGAGAGTGTGTGACTGGCCCAAGGTCAGCCAGCAAGCTTTCATGGCAGAGTGGGGATTCGAATCTGGGTCTCCCAGATTCTAGTCCAACACTTTAACCACTGTACCATGCTGCCTGGATGCTCTGTGCACAGACTCTTTTATTTTAAATCCTGCTATAGTGTGACATTTGTCTTTTTCATATGGATAGATTTACTCCTCAGAAGAGCTATAACTCTTCTGCCATAGACAGTACTGGACTGAAAGTTAAAGGGGGAAAACCCTTACGAGCTGAAATATTGAATATCAGAGAGAAAGATAGTTAAGGATTTCTACCATTGTTTGGTCCTGTTTATGAAACTGTTAAAAACAATGACTGAGTTCAGAAGTTGACAGTGGTCAGCTGCAGCGTAGATCAGATATTTTACTCACTGGTGTAATATTCTAAGCATCCATTTTCACCATTGGTACAGGTAAACTGCCAAAAATTCTTAAATACAAAGGTGATCAATTAGTATCATTGGATAATTGGATTTGATTTAGGAGAGGGGCTGTGGCCCAGTGGAAGAGCATCTGCTTGGCATGCAAAAGGTCCCAGGTTCAATCCCCGGTACTTCCAGTTAAAAGGACCAGGGAGTAAGTGATGTGAAAAACTGCCACTCCCAGTCTGAGTAGACAGTACTGACTTTGATGGACTGATGGTCTCATTCAGTATAAGGCAGCTTCATGTGTATGTGTGTTGATGGGCTGTTGTTACATTTGTTGTTCAATAAGAACATAAGAAGAGCCCTGCTGGATCAGACCAGTGGTCCATCTAGTCCAGCATCCTGTCTCACACAGTGGCCAGCCAGTTTCTCTGAACTCTGACATAGAGGCTGAGGCCTTCCCCTGATGTTGCCTCCTGGCTCTGGGATTCAGAGGAATTTTATTGTGCAGTTCCTTTAAAGCAATCCAAGAGAGCCTGGGCACTCACCCACTGTGGTGTATTCAAGTTAATGAAAAACTGTGTTTGTACTCAATCATTGAAACACCATGTAAAGCTTCATCCTGGGCAAGGATCCTAATCCTGCAATCCCTATTGGTAGCCCAGGAAGAGCTGACCAATCACCTACCATCCAGTTCCCTGAGCGGGAACGTCTGTGATTGGATGTTATCTTGACAATCCTATTGGTTGTAATGTACAGCAGGGCGTGGCTACATTAGCCGGGAGGGTTTAAAAGAAGCACAGCTACAATGCAAAAGCTGTTCTGGTTGTTCTGTTCTAGCTATGTTACGCGTCGCTCAATAAAGCTGAATCACTTGCTGAAATCTGACTCTGACTCTTTGTTAAGTAGTCGACTTAACAGCCACCCTCCCCCCCATTGCTGGAGGATGCCCCCAACACCTGGACCTCCCAGTGGGAACTCACCTAGGAGGCCAGTGGAGGAGGAGATGCTGGTGGCAGGTGGCAGATGCTGGTGGCTGGTGGCAGAGAAGGGGCGGCCAACTCAGATGGTTGGTGGCAAGGCAGAGGAGACAGCCACAGTGAGCCATGCATTGGCAGCAGGGCTGTGGACTGCGGCAGCAGTACAGCAGCTGAATCCACCCCAAGAGGGGCAGGGGAGGTGGTGCTGGCAGAGAAAGAGGCCACTCCAGCCTGGGGGATCACATGGGTTGGGCATTCCCCGTGGCTGGCCTGCTTCCTGCTGGGCCTGGCTTTGTCACCACCTCCGGAGGATGCCCAACCCTCGTGGTCCCTGGGCTGGAGCAACCTCCTTCCCTGCTGGCACCATCTCCCCCTCTGGGCTCCTGGGGTGGGCCCAGGTGCTGTACGGCTGTGGCCCTGGTGCTGCTGCATGGCTCACCAAGGCCATCTCCTTCGCCTTGCCACCAACTGCCTCAGCTGGCCACCCATATTGTGCCACCAGTTTAAAGGGACTGCACAAGAAAGCCCGAAACAGCTGTTTCTGCAGCTTTCTGAAAACCCCATTTAAAGGAACTGCAGTCCCTTTAAATGAGGGTTTGCTGGGCCCACGAACTAAATTGCATTTTCTGCAGTTCATGCCTATCCCTATGTAGAGCTACATTTCCCAATGTCACTGGTGTCAACATGCACCATGACTGCTGTCTTCTCCCCAGCATTATCTGTCAATCGATCTAGACAGAGCATGATGTCCACAACCTTCGCACCAGGCAGGCAAGTCACCACGTGGCCAAGATGCCTGTCACAGACCCCACTCTCTAAATTCTTAATGATCTAATCAGCCACTACAAGAAGCCCTCCTCTCCCCAGACCTCCAGGGGTATCCTCAGTACAAGAGGATATCGGTCCATCACCCAAGGAAGGGGGGTCTCTTCTAAGGGATCACATCCTTCCCCCTCAGACTGATATGCCCTCCGACCTTGAGACTCATTACTCTCCACAACATCTGAAGAGCTGTCAGCATAGGAGTGGGACTGCTCTGGTAATTCCCTGAGGGTATCTTCCCCAAACTTCTCTCTCTGCCTCAGCTTCTCCAGCAGCCCTAGCCTCAAAGCAACAAACCTGCTCCCTGAGAGCCACAAGCTCCATGCAGTGAACATCCACCCATGATTACCACCCAATGGGTAGACAAAGGTACATGTGGCACTCTCTGCAAAACACTGGATGGCCCCTGGCTTCCACAGTTAGGCTACTGGTTAGTAGCTTATCTACAGTGATGCAGTGTCCCCAGGCCTGATCCTCAGGCTAAGAGCCACAGGTCAAGAGACTCTGCCTAGGAGGAGCCTCACAGTTCAGAGGCCCACAGCTCCCGCCTCCTGGCAACAACAGCAGAGGGTGGGGCCTGCGATCAGCCGCAGGCAAACAGACCTTACTCAATGAGAAACAAACCAGACAAAAGACTCAAACAGACCCAGACAAAAACACCACTCTCCAGGAGGCTACAAGCACCCACTCACCCTCAAACTCTGTCCTCTCACAAAGCAACCTCAGTTAATGCTCCCCAATACTTTGGCAGTTTAGGAAAGGCAAAACAAAAAAAACACTCGACTTCCAAGCAGACTTCCCAGCAGCTCTCTCCTGGGTTCTTTCTCCCAGCCCAGCCGGCTCAGTTCTCAAGGTTTTAAATAATCCTCCTGCTTTTATTTCCCCCTTTCTGTTCAATGACCTATGCTTTTGACAATAACATTTGAATGGTTTCAGACTACATACAGGCTCGTTGGCTCTGGCAGACCTGTCTAGACCTCCCTTACCTGTAGGCCGAGTAGATAATCTTTGCACCAACAAAATCAAGGTGGTCCTTGACAAACTGCTCTGCCACCTCTTGATAGGCAGCCGCAGACCAGCTCTTGTCATGCTGAGTCCCGTCCAACTCATAGAGCTGTGGGCAGAGGAAGCACAAAGGTAAGGCCCAGCGGGAAGGCAGGTAAGGAGAAGAGGGGCCACCCCTGCCAGGAACAATCTGTACGCACCTTCCATTGAAATGAATGGGTCTTGGGCAAGAACAGATTGTCTCCATTTCAATGGGGTTTGGAAAAAAATTCTCGTTAAATTTCTCTGTTATGTAGGCACCCCCCCCCCCCCCAGAAATGCTGAAGGGGCAGCTGCAGGAGGAGGCAACTGTTTCAAGTGGTAAGCTGCCTCACGGGATTTTTTTAAAAAAAGTCAGCGGACCAATGTTGTAAATAAATGACAAATCAGTAAGATTAGGAAGCTAACGCCTCCTCAGGGGTAGGAGATGAGTAAAGCAAAAATACATGAAACTTCCAAAGGATGGGGGAAGTGTTGTACTAGATCAGGAGGTAATTACTGTTCCAAAACCACAGCCACACCAAAAACAAACAAAAAGGAGTGTCACATCAGAACTGCACTGATACAGGAGATCCGTGATCAGCACTGTCCGGGGTGCTCCTCTCCCCCAGGAAAGCAGGTGGACGGAAGGATGAGACTCTGGCCCGGGGCCATGGCATGTATCAGACCACTTGCCTGTTGCAGTCAGGTGCTCAGGCCCAGTTTCACATGCCTTCACTGCAAGAAACTGAAACTGTAGCAGAGAAAAGCCAGGCTTTCAAATGACTCAGGAGCCCATTTCTGACAGCTTTCCATAATAGCTGCAAGGCTTACTTGTTACTTATTTCAGCAGTTTGGTGTAGTCCCAAAGTGGTTAGGAGCTCAGCCTCTAATCTGGGAGAACCGGGTTTGATTCCCCATGCCTCCACATGCAGCTGCTGGTGCGACCTTGGGTCAGTCACAAGTTCTCTCAGAGCTGTTCTCTCAAGAGCAGTTTCTGTCAAGAGCTCTCTCAGCCCCACCTGCCTCACAGGGTGTCTGTTGTGGGGAAGGGAACGGAAAGGAGATTGTAAGCTGCTCTGAGACTCCTTTGGGTAGTGAAGGCCGGGGTATAAATCCAATCTTCTCTTCTTCTTCACTTATTCATTGATAGTTACTTCATTTGTCCTGTACCTTTCTCCCCAATGGAGACCCAAAGCAGCTTACACTGTTTTCAAGGTTGCCAGGCGGGAAATGTCCTGCTGGCAACCCCTGCTTCCTGTCGCCACTCAACTGGCCAGTGAGAGAAAAATGAATTTTAAAAAATCATAGTCAGTGTGAAGGTGTGACATCAATGCTGGGAAAAACCTGGAAGTGATATCATGCCACTCTAGAAACTACAGAAAAGTCTATGGTTTTTCTATAGAGTTTCTGGTGATTCCTAGAGTAGCATGATGTCACTTTCAGATTTTCCCTAGAAATGATGTCACGTAGTTGTACCAGCACTCCCCCCCTCCCATATCCTCAGCCTCTGTCTTCCATAAGGTGCTAGGCAGCTGCCAATTCTGTCCCAAAGTCACCCAGTAAGCTTCCATGACAGGGTGGGGATATGGTTCTAGGTGGTCTCCCAGATCCTAACCTGACAATCTAAGTGACAGGGTGGGGATATGGTTCTAGGTCTCCCAGATCCTAACCTGACAATCTAACTTTTACACCACTCTGTAAATGTTTTTACAAATACTGGTTTATTGGTTTTTAAATTTTTATTGTGTTGTTTTTATAGCTTGTAGGCCACTTTGACCACTGGAAAAATGGTCTAAAATACTGTAGATAAATCCTGCCAAGTCATCAGACTGTGATGCATGAGCCACTAGCAGGGTACACAGAGCCCGGGGGGGGTACACTTTATGGGGGCTGAGAGAGTCAGGAGGCCCTGCAGGCAGAAACCCCATTACCATGAGGAAAAAACTAAGGCTAAACTATAGATCACACTTGAAGATATATGGAATTTCTGAAAAACACTGAGCCAGTTTATAAGAATTAACTACTTCCCATTAGTTTTAAATGATATCTGAATAAGGTCTGAACAAAACTTACAGCAAGATCTTATTATCACAGTAACTAGTCTATAGAAAACTGATTTTAGGCAATTTTCAGTTACTATAATAATCTTTGAATCTAGTAGCACCTTAAATACCAACAAAATTTTCCAGGGCATAAGCTTTCATGAGTCAAAACTGTCTCGGTCAGGAGACTTCAAAAAACTGTCTCGGTCAGATATGGTTCCTGACGAAGAGCTTTGACTCATGAAAGCTTACACTCTGGGAAAAGTTGTTGGCCTTCTCTAAGGTGCTACTGGACTTGAATTTTGTTCTACTATTGCAGACTAACACAGCTATCCACCTGAAAGTACAATAATCTTGTCCCTCAGTAGTACAACACGATCTCTCAAGTACTGACTAGGGATGAAAGCCTCCAGGTGGGACCTGAAGATCCCCTGGAATTACCGCTCATCTCCCTGGAAAAAATGGATGCTTTGGAGGGTGGAGTCCACGGCATTGTACCCCACTGAGGCCCCTGCCCTCCCCAGGCTCCACCCCCAAATCTCCAGGAGTTTCCCAGCCTGGATCGGGCAACCCATGCCCCCCATTCCCCATTGGTGGCCATCTAACTGGTTCCCAGGCTGAGAAGGAGAGCCCTGGGCATCAATGGTTTAAAATATGAATGGAGAAACCACAACATATTACCGGTGGCAGCATGGCTCGGATCTCCACATACTGTATGTTATCTTCATAGAGCTCCAACAGACCCTGATAGAAATAGGCCTTGAACACAGGTGCGTAGCAGATAAGACCAGAGGCAGTGATGAAGACATTTTCAAATCTGCTCCAAACAGAAGCCTGGGATGGATAGGTCACCTCTGGGGCATCTGATACCAGAGTCAGGTTCCTCAACAAACTGGGGAAAGAAAGAAGGGGGGGGGAGACAGCTGTGGTTTCAAAATAGCTGGATTACTTTTGCCTTTGTCAGCAGAAGAAAGAGAAAAATTAAATTCTTCCCACTCGGTAAACCAACCATATATGAACAAAAAAGTATTATTTACAGTCACTTAAACATTCAGAAGTAAACACCATAAAGTTTGAAGGGACTTATTCCCTAGCAAGTATGCAAAGATTACACAGCTAGGGCCAATCAAAGAAGGGGGGATTGGGCTAGGGTTGCCAAGTCCAAAATTACTTACCACGGGGGAGTCTGGCGCCATCCCGGGAGTATGTGCGTCATCGCATCGGCACGTTGGGGGCGGGGCCACTACGATTCAAGGGAAAACCATAGAATTTCCCCTCAAATCATAGAGCGTCCCGCCCCCAACGTGGCCAGCGTGATGATGTCACCTCTGAGTGACATCATCACGCTGGGGACGTGTGCCGGAAGGGGGTGGAGTTCCCCCCGGGGCCCAATTTGCTGGTGTCGGGTAATGGGCCTCTCAGCCGGGGGGGTTACCCGCCCCCGGGGGGACTTGGCAAGCCTAGATTGGGCATGGGCCTCAAGCTCAAAGGTAGCCTCAGATTTAGACCCTCATTAATTTTTTGGCATTTGATATGTTCTGCAACTTATCTCACTCTTTGTTATGCCTTATTCTGTTCTCATGTGTCATTAGGGTGGCCAGGCCTCCCACCTGTCAGCTATGCTGCCATGGGGGTTGGGGAGTTCATTCTGTGTCTTGTTAATTGCTATTGCATTCCTATCCTGCTGTTATGCCTTTGCTGAAACACTTATCTCTACAGATGTGCAGGAGGAGGTTGTGTTCTCTGGAGAGTGCCTATGTACCGTGAGAGACTCCGGGTTTTCAGCTTTAGCCACCTAACGGTTGCCTGACTTATCCCGCGCTCGGGAGGGTGCCTAATTGGCCAATGCCATTGGGGGGGGGGGTGCATACGAATACCCTATATCCTATTATGCTCTACTGGCTGTGGCCATTCTTAACAGTGCCTGTGTTACTGCATCTATAGCTTTGCAATAAAAGTATAACCGTTCCTGAATGTGTGTAGTTCGTTGTTAGCTGTGGGTTCTGACACCACCACAGCTATAGCAGGAGACTCCCTGCTGTAAACCCCCATTCTCTACCACAGCTTGATGGGGCAGTGAGGGGGAAACGGCACGGGCTGGGGGGGAATTTGGCATTGTGCCAATGCAGTAACGTCATTTCTGGCACAGACTGGAAGGCACGATAGAGATACAGTGAAACAGAATTTCCTCAAGCCCTATATACAGGTGGGGGGCAGCCGTTAGGAAGGGCTAGAGACAAGATGTGTAAGTAAAGCTGAGATTGTATCAAGGCAGTTGGTAAGATCAATGAATGGCAGCAAATTAGCACACAAACAGATGTGATAACGAAGCTTGAGTCCGGTGGCACCCCCAAGACCAACCAAGCTCAACCTTGGGTACATGCAAGAACTCAAGCTTACCTTTTACTGCTTCCATTACTTTGTTCATTAACCATTCAGGCCTTTTAAAATACCTATTTGTACCTTTCCTAACCTGTGGCATACATTTTATCTGAGCTTCTCAGATTTTAGTTTTAAATAGTCTCCAAGCTTCTTGTAGGGATTTGACCCTCCTTACCTTTCCTTTCAATTTCTTCTTCACACGCCCCCTCATTTGAGAGAAGTTACCCCTTCTCAAGTTAAATTTGGTTGTGTTGTTCTTTTTGGGCTACCCTATTTACTTAAATGTTAAACTTAATAGTATTATGGTCACTGTTCCCAAACGGTGCTATCACATTTACATCTCTCACTAGGTCTTGGGAATTACTTAGGACCAAGTCCAGGCTCACCTCCCCCCTGGTACATCCAGTGACTATCTGCTCCATGGCACATTCACTGAGAGTATCTAGAAGCCCAGTCTCTTTCTCCTGACTTGAACACATATTGTCCCAATCAATGTGTGGGTAGTTAAAATCACCTATTATGTGACACAATTATTTCGTCTACCTGCTTGCCTTAATTCCTTTGCTGTTTTAAAATCATCCTCTAACCTTTGATCTGGTGAGTGAGAACAAACTCCCAGAGTTAAGCTTCCTTTTAGGCATGCTATGTCCACTCATAGCGTTTCTGTAAGTGAATCTATTTCTCTTACATTCTCAATCTTACTGGACTGTATACCCTCTCTGACATACAGAGCCACTCCCCCTCTGACCCTTCCCTCACTATGCTTTTGATATAATTTATACTGAGGAATCAATGTATCCCACTGATTATCCTCATCCTCACCAAGTTTCTGAAATGCCAACTATGTTCTCCACTGACAGTAAGCATTCCAGCTCCCCAATTTTACCTCAGACACTTCTAGTATTGGCATATAAACACCTATAATTCCCCAGGCACATTAGGCCTGCAATCTTCCTCCTGTGGCCTCTAGACCTTGTTAGGCAGTCAATATTGTCTCTCACCCTCTCAGTGGCCAGTCCGAATCCATTTCCCTCTAGGAAGTGACAGTTACCTCTTCATCTCTTAGAAATGAGCCATCCCAAACCAGAGACATTTCATCTCCTGTTAACTTTCCCTCAAGATTTAGTTTAAAACCTGCTCTGCCAACTTTTTGATTTTAAGCACCAGCAGCCTGGTTCCTTCTTGGGACAAGTGGAGGCCTTCTCTCTTGTACAGGTTCTGCTTGTTCCAAAAAGTATCCCAGTGCCCAACAAATTTAAACCCTTCCTCCCTACACCATCGTCTCATCCACGCATTAAGACTCCTAATTTGTGCCTGCCTAGCTGGCCCTGCGTATGGAACAGGCAGCACTTCTGAGAAGGCTACCTTGGAGGTCCTGGCCTTGAATCTCTTTCCTAGCAACCTAAATTTTTCCTCCAGGACCACATGACTACATTTCCTTACATTGTTGATGCCAACATGTACCACGACCACTGGCTCCTCTCCAGCACTGTCTACCAGCCTATCTAGATGATACATAATGTCCACTGCCTTCACACCAGGCAGGCAAGTCACCATGCAGTCAGTACGTGGGTTTGCAACCCCTCTATCTACATGCCTAAGGATCGAATTACCAACTACCAAGAACCCCCCTCCCTCCCTGCCCAGGGATGGTTCCTTGATGTGAAATGATACCTGTTCACTGAAGGAGGGTTCCCTTCTGAGGGAACATTCCCCTTTTTATCAGCACGGTGCCCTGTTTCCCATTGACCCTCATGCTCCCTGACAGCGGCGGGGCTGCCATTCTCGGAATGGAACACATCTAACAAGTCCCTGAGGGTCTTCTGCATGTGCCTGTCTCTGCTTCTCCAGATCAGCCACTTTGGCCTCGAGGGTAAGAACTCGTTCCCTGAGAACCAGGAGCTCCTTGCACCGAGCACACAGTTGGCAGATAGTCATATCCAGTTGGCAGATAGTCATATGTGTTACACTCAGTGCAATATACTGGATAGCCCCCAACCCATACCGTATGCTAATGAGCTCCTGCAGCTCTTTTTCTATGAAATGACCCCTGGAGCTAACCAATGACTAAACTGAGGCTATTGTACTTTGGTCACATTATGAGAAAATAAGAGTCACTGGAAAAGACAATAATGCTGGGAAAAGTTGAAGGCAGCAGGAAAAGAGGAAGTCCCACATTAGATGGACTGATTCAATAACGGAGGCCGCGGCCATCAGTTTGCAAGATCTGAGCAAGGCTTAGGCTTGCCAAGTCCCCCCGGGGGGCGGGGAAACCCCTGCCCGAGAGGCCCATTACCCGCTGCCGGCATATCAGGCCCCGGGGGGAACCCCACCCCCAAAGCATGCGATGTGCCCGGCGTCAGCACGTCACCCCGAAGTGACGCAGTTGCGTTGGGTGCGTTGGGGGCGGGGCCGCGGTCATCCGAGGGAAAACTCTATGGGTTTCCCTTGGATAATTGTGGCCCTGCCCCCGGCATGCCCGACGTGGTTGCATTACTTCTGGGAGACGTAATTGTGGCGCGCGCGCTTCGCGTGCACGCACAGACTCCAGGAGCAGCGCTGGAGTCCCCCACTCTACATGCAGTAAGGACTTGGCAACCCTAGCAAGGCTGTTAACGATAGGCCATTTGGGAGGTCACTAATTCAAAGGGTCACCATAAATCAGAAGCGACTTTACAGCAATTCACACCCAGATAATTTTATCATACTCCATTTTATATACATTGATTTCACAAGACGTAGATGGGAGTAACTCTGTACTGGATCACACTGTAATTTATGATAGAATTCTGTGTGTGTGTGAATGGCTGTAAAGTCGCTTCTGACTTATGGCAGCCCTTTGAATGAATGACCTTCCAAAACGTTGGAAGAAGCCAACTGAGATTTCAGATTTGGTAGGTACAGATGGAAAACACCAGACAATTTAGGCTTGTATGTAGAGATGCCTCTTAGTTATTAATTGTCAGAGTCATGTCTGGTAAGTCCTTAAAGTGGGCATTCTGATAGCCGCTTTTGAGTACTGTCTTTCTAGTACCTCCTGCATGCACGATGAACAGCCCATACCAGTAATTCTAACTTCCCTGCTTCCTGGTTCTTGTTAATGATTACAGAAAATAAATTTGAATAGTTAGCAGTGAAATACCACAGATTTGGATATTTAAAGGGGGGGGGGCAAAGTCCCAAACTAAATTTAAGTTCTTGATTTCTATGCCCCTTTTACATTGTTGGCACAGACTCAGCAACAAGATTTTTCACATTTGGGGGTCATCCATTCCAGAGTATGCCAGCATCAAGAACGACAGGCCCATCAGCTGTGACAAAATATGCAAATTATATCTGCGTGACATTCTGGCGTGCACTGTCTCTCTGTCAGGGCTCTTAATCAGTCGCCCGCTCTGGGTCTAGGCCTCATTCCTTCGCTATGACAACAGTGACCATGTCCAACGATTAGTTGATGTTTGGTACCTTGCCTAATCACAGCCTCGCCAATTAAAAGTACACATCATTACACATGTGAGAACCGGAATTGAATTCATACTTATCATCTTGTTCTCGAGAAATCTTTACTGTTCATCAGGAAAATGGTTCTCCTACAGCTTGCAAGAGGCAGCGGTGCCAATTCTCGTAAAACAAAGTAGCGTTGGGCCTGGTCAGCAGATGGGATGGGAGACCACAAAATGGAGTCTGTTTGCCACACATTTAATATGCCAGCTGCTGTTATCTTACCTAAGGAGTCCCTTCCTGTGCTTTGGGCGGCCGTTATTTCTCACTCCATTTGGCTGTTTATTACTTTTATTAAAAGGGCTAGGGGAGGGTGAGGAAAGAGACTACAAATCAGACAGCCATGCCCCATCCAGGGTGAGGGTTGTTGTTTTTTATGTGCCCACCAGTCACGGAATTCAGAGTTAAGGTTTCCACAGCAACGTTAACTCTGCCCTCTTGTGCATGACAATGGGGGGCTTTCCTTACATTAGCACACAAAAGATCAGGCCTGCGCAAGAAACTACTTAGTAAACAATGCCACATAATGGAAAGGAAATGAACCATAGCTAGAGAAGCACACACAGCAGCAGCATTTTGTGCTGGTTTATGTGGAATAGTAACTGGCATTTCAGACCTGTTCTGAAGAGAACTGCTTATGTGATGACATAGCAAGCGTCACCCTAGAAACCAGGAATGAACTAAGTACCAGAGGCATCTTTTGCTTAACTTATCAGAAAGTGCCAGAGGAGGCCAAAGGGTGGGAACTTTACAAGATGTCTTCGGGCCCATGACGGTAGGGAAAACGTTTTGGTGGTGGGGAGGGCTACACAGTCCGAGGTCCAGGCTCACTGCATGTTTACTCCACTCAGAATTAAGTCTCACTGTAAATCTTATTCAGCCTTGTAATCTATACAACTTACTTTCAGGTAGGAGTAAGGAAACACTTCTTTTCACAGCAAGTGATTAAAATGTAGAATTCGCTGCCAGAGGATGTGGTGATGGCCGCAGGAATAAACAGCTTTAAAAGGGGATTAGATAGATTGCTGGAGGATAAGTCTGTCAGTGGCTACTAGCCATGGTGACTGAAGAGAACTTCCACATTTCAGAGACAGTCAGTCCCAGCACTAGAAGGCAACATCAGGGGAAGGCCTCGGCCTCTATGCTCTGTTGTTAGCCATGCAGAGGAACTGGTTGGCCACTGTATGAGTCAGGATACTGGACTAAGATGGGCCACTGGTTTGATCCAGCAGGGCTCTTCTTATGTTCTTATATGCCAGATTTATCCTAGTTTTTGTGTTAAGTTCTTTAGTTTCTGCAACGTTCGCACATCACAGTATTTGGAAAATCAAAAACTGCTGGTTCTCACCTCCTCATTATAGTCTCGCACTGAAAAAATAAGGTACGTGGGGGGAAGGGACAAGATGGAAGCTTTTTGCCTCAGCAGACTAAACTAGTCGACCCCTAACACCATGCCACAAAACAATGTGAAGCAACTGCTTTGAGCAGAAGATTCCAGAGGGGGGCACCATTTTACTGCCTCCGAACTTTGTCTCCTGTAATTTCAGTGCAAAACCGATGTTGACCTTGCATAGAAGTGATTTAAAGATGATTCTCTTCTACTTTGCTTGAACCCCATTTATAGATGTATGAAATGGCACAAAAGAGGCTCAGAAGCACTTTATGCAAAGTTTATTTGAGTATGCATGTCTTTGACGTTCTTGAGATTTATTCCCAATTAAATGTGCCTACACTAAAAGAGTGTTTACTTAGAACAGTTGTATCCCATTCCTACCCTTCCTCTAGGGGTTTAAAGCAGCATACATCAGTCTTCCCTTCTCTGTTCTATCCTCACAACAAACCTGTAAAGTAGATGATGTAGAGACAGACTGACCAGCAAGCTCCATATCACAGTATGAAGCTGAACCCAGTTTTCCCTGGCCAGTGTAAGGAAATTAGACCACCTGGGAAACACATACTACTAATAATAGTATTACTGCTATTACTACTTTGATATTACAACTTTAGCACAATGGTTCCTTCACCGAGTGGTTGTGATTATGTTTACAGTAACATATCTGTAACATATGTGAGTTTATACGTTTCAACTGAATTATTTTATATATACTTTATTTTAAATGTCATTATAATGTTGCAATTTTTTAATGTTTTGATGTTTGCCACCTTGGGGGCCCTATTTGGGTGGAAAGACAGCACAGAAGTGTTTTAAATAAATATCTAAGCAGAAGATTAGATGGGGGGAACTTGTAGAACACATGATAAAAACAATAACAATAAATTATTATTGTTGCTGTTAACAACAATTATTAACAACAACAACAATCCTCTTGTACTAAAAGTTCACCCAGGCCTGTAGCTATGGTGGGATTTCCCAGGGTCTGGCCCTCTGACTTCCTCCCAAGGCCCCACAACTTTTGGATTGCAGGTGCAGGTGCGTGGCCCTGGCTTCTCTCCCAAAGCTTTGAGGGAGAAGCAGGGGAGGCCATGCACTCCAAGCCACGAATTTCAGTGCCCCACGACTTTTTAAAAGCCCCCCCCCCATTTAAAAAATCCTGGCTATGGCCCTGAATTCACCTATGACAATCCCGGTCGCTCACCCACCTGTTATCAAATTCAGTCACATTGGGCAGAGTCTGGCGGTAGGTCTCTAGCAATATCCAGTTGGAGCAACCGGGCAGCACTTCCTTAGGAGGATGAGACTCTGAGAACTTGAACCGGACGTCCCCCAAAGGGAAGAAGCAGATGTGACAATCAGGAAGGTAGCTGGCATGCTTTACCAGCCAGTCGGCACTCAGAATGGCATAGTCATGCAGGTGTAAAACACCACCTGTGCAGGAAGCAAATGGCACAATGGCACACACCAACACAATGCATATGATCAGCACTTAGAAAAAACTGAAGCTATCTATGTTGTAATGTATGAAGGGGTTTGGTGGTGGTGGGGGTAGTGGTGACACCTGTGACAGTGACCAATTGTGCTGTTGTAATGCTATGGGGAGTTGGGGTGGGCAAAGCGTGCCGGACTACTTGCCGTCCTGTCGCTGTCCTCAGCCAAAAGCCTGGCAGAACATCTCTGCCTTACAAGCAGTGTTCCCTCTAAGCTGAGTTAGGATGAGCTAGCTCGCAGTTTTTTAGCCTCCAGCTCACACATTTTTTACTTCGCTCAGGAAGGATGGCTCCAGAGCCAACTAATTTGTGCAGAAGCCAAATCGCTTGCTCACAATTTTAGTGCCAGTAGCTCACAGCATAGAGTTGTTGCTCACAAGACTCCACAGCTTAGAGGGAGCGTTGCTTACAAGTCCTGCGGAAAGGCAATAAATCCTGCAGGGCACGGATGTCCTCCTGCAGAGAGGTCCACTGGGCGGGGGCCAGGGCTGAGAAGTCCCTGGCCATGGTTGAGGACAGTCGGATCTCTCTCAGGCCAGGGTGATCCTAGAGCAGGAAAGCAGATCAGTTTCAGAGCAGAAGAACAACGCAACAGCCTGTGCAAGGAGAAACACACAGGAGCTTGGAGAAGGCAGCAGAGCGAAGGAAGCAGGGGGGAGAATGGGAAAGAGAAGGCTGGAGAAGACATGGACACAGACGAATGCAGGTAAGATGAGGAGATAAAATCAGGAAGTCTGAGAGAAGAAGGAAAACTGGGACTCAGTGGTCCCATTCACCATCACATTTATGCCCAGGTCTGGTGCTTCTTGCAATCTATCATGGATTCTAGCAGTTGTGGGCAAGCTGACGGCTCTACTGACCCTGAATGTTCTTCCAGTTACACACGTTTCATTGAAAGCAAGACCTATGCAGCTGAAAGGATTGGTACGTTACATACACCTAACTAGTTGAGCCAATTTGTTACCTTTTCTTCTGAAGTCTTTATACAATTTCTTCTAGTAATCATGACCCTCCAGAACACAAAACCCACATATGCATCCAAGGAATTCTTTAAAAATACCCAAATGGATATCTCCAATTGAGGCTTTTGTTTTCCCAAACTTGTATGATTATCAAAAGAAACTAAGTTATGAAGAATTATTAGATGATAAAAATAATCTTAAACCAATTGAAAGTTTGAAAGAGCAAAATAAGGAACTGTCCTGGTTACAAGCAATGCAATTACAGTCGAGATATAAGGAGGACCGGAAATATGATTTACATCTCTGCCTTACAAGCAGTGTTCCCTCTAAGCTGAGTTAGGATGAGCTAGCTCGCAGTTTTTTAGCCTCTAGCTCACACGTTTTTGACTTCGCTCAGGAAGGATGGCTCCAGAGCCAACTAATTTGTGCAGAAGCCAAATCGCTTGCTCACAATTTTAGTGCCAGTAGCTCACAGCATAGAGTTGTTGCTCACAAGACTCCACAGCTTAGAGGGAGCGTTGCTTACAAGTCCTGCGGAAAGGCAATAAATCCTGCAGGGCACGGATGTCCTCCTGCAGAGAGTTCCACTGGGCAGGGGCCAGGGCTGAGGACAGTCGGCTCTCTCTCAGGCCAGGGTGATCCTAGAGCAGGAAAGCAGATCAGTTTCAGAGCAGAAGAACAACGCAACAGCCTATGAAAGAAGAAACACACAGGAGCTTGGAGAAGGCAGCAGACCGAAGGAAGCAGGGGGGAGAATGGGAAAGAGAAGGCTGGAGAAGACATGGACCCAGACGAATGCAGGTAAGATGAGGAGCTAAAATCAGGAAGTCTGAGAGAAGAAGGAAAACTGGGGCTCAGTGGTCCCATTCACCATTACATTTATGCCCAGGTCTGCTGCTTCTTGCAATCTATCATGGATTCTAGCAGTTGTGGGCAAGCTGCCGGCTCTACTGACCCTGAATGTTCTTCCAGTTACACACGTTTCATTGAAAGCAAGACCTATGCAGCTGAAAGGATCGGTACGTTACATACACCTAACTAGTTGAGCCAATTTGTTACCTTTTCTTCTGAAGTCTTTATACAATTTCTTCTAGTAATCATGACCCTCCAGAACACAAAACCCACATATGCATCCAAGGAATTCTGGGTCAGTTATACTTACCTTTTGGCATCTGCTTTAAGATACTGAACACAGCACTCTGGTCAATGAGGGCTTTGGCCTTGAAGAAATGCATGCTGGGCGGAAAGAGCCCTGTGCGCATCGCTTCAGCCACTTCCACCTCCTTGAGGTGCATGAGCTTCTGGTTCACATTTTCCTCACGTTTCCCCAGCACAAGGTTGCCCCCAGTCCGCCGAGCATTCTCCTTTTCAATGAGGGAGTCCCGATCGCTCCATAAGGGTAGGGATACACAAAGGGAAACCAAGCTGAAAAATAGGACTGCTGCTTCCCATCCACTTCTTTGAGTCACCTGAGGCATCTTTTTCAACACAGCTGGAAAACATCATCACAAGGATGAAAATGAAATCTTTGTTATTTTCAGTACAGAAATTGGACGGTGAGGTACAGAATTAGGTCCAGACCCTTCATCTGAAGCTGAACAATCCAAGAATAGGATACTTTCTTCCTCAAGATAGAGTTCAGTAGTACCTTAGAGCCCAACAGGATTTTTGAGGTATCTTCATCAGGTATATCCCAAAAATCTTGTCAGTCTTTAAGGTGCTACTGGACTCAAATCTAGCACTCAGAGTCCAGTAGCACTCCTAACTGTAGACCCACATGGCTAGACATGGAAACTCCAAGTGGTCAACCAGTCCCAAATCACATCATTCTCCAGCAGAGGCTGAGATCATGTGGTATCTGAACATATGAAGCTGACTTATACAAGCAGACCATTGGTCCATCAGGTCGACTCAAGCAGCAGTTCTCCCAGGGTCTCAGGCAGAGGTCTTTCTCATTACTCAAGCAGCAGTTCTCCCAGGGTATCAGGCAGAGGTCTTTCTCATCACCTACTGCTTAGTCCTTTTACCTAGAGATGCTGGGGTTTGAACCTGGGACCTTCTGCATGGAAAGCAAAGGCTCTACCACCGAGCAACAGTCCCTCCCTGACTTAAACTTTTAAAAACAGATAGGAATGACTAGAATCCTATTGTATGACCAACTCCCAGACCATGAGCTTTCACCCTGCGTACGCTGCACATAGTCCAATATCTGGTAGCATTGCAAGCACACCTTTCCACAGATATACATCGGATCTCAACATTCACAACAAAATATCAGTAACGTCACTTGAGCCACTGTCCTATTGAGTTAAATACTAGAGTAAGAGAGCTTTACGACTGCAGACTTCCAAATTTTGTAGCCAAATGACAATCTGAACCTTGGTTTCCCTAAAGCAGCCCCACTCTCCAGCACCCAACACTGATCCCCTCAATAACAAATTTAGATATATTAACCTGTGAAAATGCAAATCACACATGAGAGAGGACCAGGGTCATAAAGGTGGTCATCTAATATCCTGTGTCACCTGTGTTTGAGTTGAGCTCCCTCCTTATCTTTCCCGTGACTTACTATTGTTACTTTCTCCTGCCTCTCCTACCTTTTAGCCTGATTCAGCAGCAAGCAGCCTTAGGAAAATTAATCCTGGAGAGGAAACACGCTTAATTACAGCCATAGATTACATGACTGCCTCATGAAAAGACACCCTAGCAATTCACTCACTGTTGACTGCTCCTTCCTTGATCTGAGCACTCCAAACAACTGCTAAGGCTCTTTCTCCAGAGATCACATCCCTCTCTGCAAACAGGCAGGCGGATACTGCCCTGATAAAAAGGAACAATTCAAAAACGGAGCTGGCTCAACTTCCTGTTACACAATGGAAATCTGATACGATTACCCGTTTTTAGGGAAGTCATTGCACAATCAAGGAAAGGGAAAAGAAAACAGACATGAAAGCTTTAATCCTATGCATACTTTCTGGGAGTAAATACCATTAAATTCAGAGGGACTTGTTGCATGAAACATGCATGAAACTGGGATGAACTAGGCAACCTCTCTCTCTCTCTCTCTCTCTCTCTCTCACACACACACACACACACACACACACAATTAACTTACAATGTAGTCCTAAGCAATGCAAAGTGTAGAGTTGTCTGCTACAGGTAGGGAAATACCTGGAGATTTTGAAAGTGGAACTTGAGGAGTGCGGGGTTTGGGGTGGGAAGGGATTTAATGCCATAGAGTCCACCTTCCAAAGTGGCCATTTTCTCCAGGTGAACTGATCTCTTTCTAACCTACCTATAACTGGACATCACATTCAGGATGATAATGGGAGTTACTATGCCAAAATGAAGGGAATCTTGACATATGCCAATTTGGTGTAGTGGTTAAGTGCGTGGACTCTAATCTAAATGAACCGGGATTGATTCCCCACTCCTCCACTCGCAGCTGCTGGATAACCTTGGGCAAGCCGTAGTTCTGACACAGCTGTTCTTGAAAAAGAGCAGTTTCTGTCAGAGTTCTCTCAGCCCCACCTACCTCACAGGGTGTCTGTTGTGGGGAGGGGAAGGGAAAGGAGTTTGTAAGCTGCTCTGAGACTTCTTTGGGTAGTGAAGGGTGGGGTATAAATCCAATCTCTTCTTCTTCTCTTCTGTGACCCTAGGTTATCTGCAGAAGCCCTGGATGTTATTTGCAATTAAAGCAGGCATAACTCATCAAAAAATAGAGCTAGGAGTTTCAAAATTGGCCATTGGTTTCAGGATGATCATCGGAGTTAGGTAAAGGTTTTCCTTGCTCAAAGCCAGTTGAATCCAACTCTAGAGTTGCGGTGCTCCTCTCCGTTTCAAAGCCGAAGAGCCAGCGCTGTCCGAAGACATTTCCATGGCACACGGAAGGCACACGGAACGCTGTTACCTTCCCACTGAAGTAGTACCTATTTATCTACTTGCAATTTCTTGCTTTCGAACTGCTAGGTTGGCAGGAGCTGGAACTAGAGACGGGAGCTCACTCCGTCATGCGGCACACTTGGGTCTCGAACTGCTGAACTACCGACCTTCCACAGCCTGCAGTTCAGCGTCTTAACCACTTGAGCCACCACAGTTACATCGGAGTTACAGTGCCACAAATGAAGGGAATCAGGACATCTGAAATGGAAACTCAAATTGTCTGTGGCAGGCATAACTTATCCTAGGAGCCTCAGAATTGGTCAACTGCTTCAGGCTAATTGTGGGAGTTGCAGCGCCAAACATGAAGGGGACTGGGGCATCACAGCTCATGCACTCTTCAGAAAGACCCACCCCACTTTTTGCATTGGAAGCTATAGTTGTCTCTGATGGTCACAGTTCATCAGGAAAAAAAAGCTAGATACCTGGATAAAGGTAAAGGTAAAGGTTCCCTTGCTTGAAAGCCAGTCAAATCCGACTCTAGGGTTGCGGTGCTCATCTCCGTTTCAAAGCCGAAGAGCCAGCGCTGTCCGAAGACGTTTCCGTGGTCATGTGGCCGGCATGACTAAACACCAAGGCGCACGGAACGCTGTTACCTTCCCACCGAAGTGGTACCTATTTATCTACTTGCAATTTCTTGCTTTCGAACTGCTAGGTTGGCAGGAGCTGGAACTAGAGACGGGAGCTCACTCCGTCATGCGGCAACCCGGGTCTCGAACTGCTGAACTACCGACCTTACACAGCCTGCAGTTCAGCGTCTTAACCACTCGAGCCACCTGGATACTGGCCACCAAATTCAGGCCGAAGATGGGAACTGCAGTGCCAAAATGAAAGAAAACGGAATCAGGGTATCCTGGCCCGTGTAATATCCAGGACTCCCCTCCCCCCCCGGGTAGAGCCCTAGTGCTACTGCAGGGGGACTTACTGGGTGGTCAGAGGCCCTTGCTGGCAACACACTGATGTCACTTCTGTAAGTGTGTTGTCAGTGATGCCAGGGACACTTTGACACTTGGGCAAAACTCTGTGATTTAACCATGGAGTTTTGCCCAAATGCCAGAGCATTCCCAGCATCCACTTCAGAATGATTGATCTTGGGAGCCACAGTGCCTAAAATGAAGAAATTGGAACATTTTGGGCAGATCTCTTGCTGGGTGACCTTGGGCCAGTCACTCTCAGCCATGTAGGGTTGCCAGGTCCCCCCTTGGCCACCGGCAGGGAATGGGGGGGGTAGGATTGCCAAATCCAGAGAGGAAAACAATGCAAGCTGCTTGGGGGGGGGGGGCCCCCACGCGCGCGAAGGGGGGGAACAAGGGTGGGATATCACATTTGCTATCAATCTAACTCGGCTACAGCTTGCAAAAATGACCTCTCTTGCCGTTGCTTCATCTGGTATTGCTGCAGCTGTTTTGGCGGGAGGCAGAACTGCTGATTCAGTATTCTAACTCCCGTTAAGCATTGTGATCTCAACAAGTCAGTGAGTGGACCAAGCAAGGGCAGAGCCCCTGGTAATTTTTCAAACAAGCCTGCCTTACAAAAACACAGAACACTGACATAAAAACAGTATGAAACATATGAAATAGGAATTCAGCACAACAATCCACCTTTAATGGGATTCATTCCAGCAGAAGCCTTTGTGAGTCAGCGCTCACTTCATCAAATGCATGGAGTGTCCAACCAAAGGAGCTCAATGTATATAAAGCAACTGAAAGGGGCATGAGGAAAAAAGAGAAAACACCTAAGAGTTAGAGCTCCTCTCTCTTTTTCCCACAAACCCTTTTCCATTGCTGATATTGTTGTTAGCCTCCAAAGTGCTACTGAAATCCTCTCCAGTTTTGCTACAACCCACAGGCACAGCAACCCTTCCGGAATTCCTTTTTATTGACTCATCTTCATCTGGTGGGTTCTGCCCACTTTAACCGTGCCCTCTCTTGCTTCAGGCCAACAGGCGGAACTAGATAAGCTCCATTGTCCTCTCTCTTATTCCAAGCCCTGGCTTTATTTATTTTTTTTCCTAAGCAGATACCAAGAGTCTTCCCCACCCAGAAGAAGCTAACAATGGACAAAATTTCCTTTGAGTGTGGGTTAAGCTGCACTGGCTGCGGTTGTGGCGCTGTTGCCATTGAGGAGACCCCTCTGCACATTCCTGTTGTATTTTTTCAACAGAAGCCATTTTTTTTGCCTCCTTCCACTCTGACCCTGCTCAAGGGATCTGAACAATTGCTACCTGCTGGCATGCGGCACAAGAGGGCCTCGGGAGGTTGACACAAAGGCCTCTTTCACATGATGGGCTTGCCCTGGAGCAGCCAGGCCTGGAGGAGGCTGAGTGAATAGCACAGCCCCCCCCCTTTCCTCCCCAATCCCCCTGCCTTGCATTTCAATCAAAGTCAACAATCAGATTGGAATCCCTCATACACGGGGCTTTCACATTTGAGTGGCTCATCCTATCTGCCATTGCCTGGGCCACTGATTTGAAAGGGAAATGCATTTCATCCTGGGGGTTAAGGTGGAAGGTGAGAACAGAAGGGCATGCATTCAGGTTCCCCCCCCACTCCG